GCAGGCAGGCAACGGTGACATGAGGGCTGGTCTCCAGCTACGGCAGCGAGGGGTCCTCCCTCCCCGGCTCACCTTTTGAGCCCCCGAGAAAGCGTGGTAGAAGCAGGACACATAAGTCATGATGGCTTTCTCGTCTGGCCTCAGAGTGCCTACAATATCTGCACAGAGAGAGAGAGAAAGAGAGAGAGAGAGGCAGAGAGAGTGAAAGGCGCAGGGAGGGCGGCCAGTGCCGGGGCCCTAGGCTCATGCGAGAGAAGAGCAGCGCTCTGGACTGGAAGCCACACCCCACTCAGGCCTGCGTGGGCGTGCCATGTCAGGTTCTGCAGAGGCAAGGATGCAAGCCCAAGTGAGGTGGAGTCCTTGTCGGACCAGGCCTGGGCTGGCGACGGACAAAGGAGGCCCTGTTCTGGGCTGGAGGGTCAAATGTTAGGTGATCTTTGTGAAAATGCCAGATTATGCCATGTGCCACCACCTGTGACTTTTACAATGAACCTGGGGCCGTCCCGTCGATTCCAACCACAGCGCCCCTACAGGACAGAGTAGAACTGCCCTGTAGGGTTTCCAAGGAGCAGCTGGTAGATTCGAACTGCCAACCTTTTGGTCAGCAGCTGAGCTCTTTACCACTGTGCCACCAGGGCCTCATGACCTTCAGCATAGAACCCCCCTAACGGCCTCCTCTGGCCCTTACCCTAAACTCCTTATCCTCGGCTGCAACGGGCTTGCACGGCCTGGCCCCTTGCCTTCTCCAGCTCACTTCTCCTCCTCGCTTATTCCTCACCAGCTCTTTCCTGAATAAGCCAAGCTTATTCCTTCCTGCCTCAGGGCCTTTGCACTTGCTCTGCCCGCTGCCTGGAATGCCTTTCTCACAGGTATCCTCCCTGGGAGCTCCTACTCACAGCACCTCCTCAGAGGCCCCCGACGGCCCCCCACCTCTCTCCCATCTCCCTGCCCCACGCTCTGTACTGTGCTCATCGCCACATGAAACGACCCTATCTGCTGGCGTGCCTCTTGTCTGTCTGGCCCACTGGAACCTAAGTTCCATGACACAGAGACCTTGCCTGGCTCTGCTGTGGCCCAGGGCCCGGAACAGGGCCTGGCAGAGAGAAGTACTCAGTGGATTTGTGGACTGTGAGCAAAGACCGAGTGGGCGCTAATGGCAAGGAGTCGGGGGGTGGCTTCCAGTCAGAGAGAGGCCACTGCCGTCTGCAAGAGAAACAAGGTGAGCGTGGAGGCGAGAGGCAGCAGCGGCATTGGGCAGTGGCAGCGAGGTGGGCCTGCCTGGCCCTGCCCTGTACCTTCTGCGCTCCCGAAAATGCATGGTAGAAGCTGGACACATAGGTCATTATGGCCTTCTCGTCCGGCCGGGCCGTGTTCACGATGTCTGCAAGTGAACGACAAGGGTTAAACCGCCCAGAGAAGGGCGGGGTGGGGGCTGCTCACAAGGATCCACAGGCTCCTAAAGCCACGGTCATCATCCCGGAAGACGGCCCCTCAAGGCTGGTTCAGGGACGCCCGGTGACCTGGGTGGGCTTGGCCACACCTTCTGCCCCGCCCTCTCCCAGGGTCTCTAGAAAGGCCAAGGCTGTGGGAACTGGATTAAGATGAGGCCACTTCCTCTCTCCGAGAATGGCCTCACAGGGCAACGGCCTCATGGGGCTGCTGGACAGTCGGCTCCAAGGGCCACCAGAGGCCAGAGGTATCCATCCTGGTTGGGGTGGGGCGTGGCTGGGAAACGGAACAAAGCCGGAACAGGAAAAAACAAAACACTCCGCTCTGGCGGGCTCCGGCCTCTGAGCCCGCTGCAGGCAGGGAGGGGAGAGGCCTGTGGTGACTGGCAGGAAGCCGAGAGCCAGCCTTCCTCGGCCATCTCATCCTGCCTGAGGGAGGGGTGGGACCGGTCAGGCACGGTCCGGCAGGGCCCTGGCCCAAGATGCAGTCCCCCAGGGGTCTGATCTTCTTCAAGCTCTCCCTTCCCGCCCTTCTCCACCCTTGAACATGCCTGGCCTGCTCGGCTGCTCTGCCCTGGCTCCCAGGAACACTATGGGCCCTGGCACACCCAGATTAATGCAGCCCTTCTTGCTGGCCCTGCCAGCTCCTCGAGGTGACCCCAAAAGCTCTGACGTGCCCATGGGCCCTTGCCCGAAGCCAGGCTGGGACAGATGAGGTGCCCAGGGAACAGGGTGTTGACGGAACAAAAGGGAAGCACTTACCCTCCGCATCCAACATCTTGGGGATGTCCAGGTATTTCTCAGCCACTTCAAAGGCGTTGTTCAGGTTGGTGACTGGGTCATCCTGGGGGAGGGAGGGGTGGACAGAAAGAACTCTGTCAGGGATAGGATGAGCAGAAGAGGATGGAGGGCTGCTCTGGAAGGGAGGAAGCTGGGGGTGGTAGGACTGGAAAGGTTTCTTCAGGCAGTTCTCAGCCAGCTGTACTGCTGCAGGGAGGAGGGGGCACCTGGATAAATCCAATTCCCACCCATAGGAGCACCTCCTGAAGTCCTCGTGGGGTGAACTATGGACACTGGCTCTGGAAGAATGCAGGTGCACTATTTTCTTACAATGCCAGCCATCTAAGACCCCAGGTTAAGATTCCTGCCCTAAACCCCAAGTCTGCATCTCAACCAGAAGGTGGGTCAAGACCTGAGAGGGCGATGGGGACGCAGGACGGTGAGAAGAGCAAACCCCTCGCCAGGACCCCCACTGGCTCTCCACTGCAAACGGCCCACTTCACCCCAACCCTCCAGCAGGAGCCCCACGGCTGGGCTTGTGCCCCGCCCCCCGAATGCCCTCCGGCTCTGGGCTGCCTCTTCCTAGAGACGCCTGTCCCTGGCCATGCCAGCTGAGAGGCCCCCTCCCTCCACCCCACCATATTCAGCCTCATGGCCTGGGGTGACTGCTTTTTCCACAACTGTCCTGTCCCCTCTGCCCGAGGCTGTGAGCTCCTGTAGGGCAGGACTGGGCCTCACAGGCCAATCAGACAGGACTGCACAGGAACTGCTTGCTGACTGTGATGGTTTGGAATTCTTCCCCCAGCTTGGGCAGAGGGGGAATGCTTCCAGAACCCAGGCAGTTAAGCAAAGGGAGATGGAAGGCACGGCTGGTCAGGCCTACAATAACCACAGCTGGTTGCAATGCCCGTGGAAGAGGAAGGGGACAGTCACCGAGGGGAACACGGGAGGCGAGAATCTGCCACCAGCCTGGGGTCCTCGCCTGCCTATCTGAGCACAGAAGCAACCTAGCTATGGAGGTCAGTGATGGATGGGCTTGGGGTGGTGACGAGTTAGGGCATCAGACTCAGGGTGTCTGTGGGCCATCAAGGGGTGCTGGAGATGCGTACCTTTCTCAGCTTGTCATACTCAATCAGCTCGGGTCTGTGCCGGTGGATCAGGGCGTTGAAGGCAAGACCATCCTTCCAGCTGGGGACAGAAAAGCAGAAGCGATTAGAAGGGCACTTTTGCCGTCACGGGAGCGCTGAGTGGCCCTGGACACCCACAGGAACGATCAGTCCCCGTTTCTTGGGGTTAGTGTGTGCCGGACACTGCAGAGGTGGCGTGGCAGAGCGCCACTGAGCATGCCCTCTGGAACCAGACAGTCTGGGGTCAGCTCCTGACTCCTTCGCTTACTGTCAGTGGGACCCGGGGCAAGCCACTTAATCTCCTGTTACCTCAGTTTCCATATCTGTAAAACGGGGGTGAAAACAGTACCTGCTTCATAGTGCTGCTGTGAGGATTAAATGAGTGAGTGTGTAAACACTCCGACCAGGGCCTGACATGTAGCTGGGAGGTTATAAGTGCTAACTGTGAGTACTGCTGTGGCCTGCTGAGCCCTGCACACCCAGGCCCTGCTGTGCCAGACAGGCCTGCTGCGGGGGGACGCCAACTGCAGGGACAGCCAGCTACGGCGAGACGGCCCACTGCGGGGGGACGGCGCTGTGGGACCTCCTGCACTCTGGCTGACCTGGCCCACGGAGGGCCTGACCCTGGACTGGCTAAATGCCAGGACGTGGCTTGGCATGAGGGTCTTGTGAGGAAAATGAAGGCTGTCACAAGCGAGACTGGTCACGTTCTCCTCCCCGGGATCCCTGAAGGGCTGGTTCCTTCGGGTGTCAGCTCAATGCCACTGCCTCAGAAAGGCCATCCCTGACCAAGGTCCTGGCTAGAATGCCTGGCCCTCTCCCCGGTTACTTCCTGTCACGTCATCCGGTTTTGCTGTCTTTGTAGAGCGCCCCCACTACCTGGGAGTACCCTGCTGGTTTATCTGCACTTCTGCTAACAGGTGGTCCCCGCTCCTAGAATGTAAACTTCCCAAGGGCAGGAACCTTGTCTTGGTGCTGCGGTATTCCCATTGGTGGTATGGAGTAGGCACTCCACGGATATTTACTAAACTGAATAAATGAGTGACCGAGAAGGGCCGAGAGGGTCAGCCAGAGAGTGACAGGAAACAGGAGAAGTGGAGAGAGAGAAGCAAGGGAGGAGCCATGTGCTGTGAACGGCAGACACACGGAGAAGGTCCTCAGCGCCCAGTGCCATGGCCCCAGAGAGCCCGTGGACACAGCAGGGGCTCCGTGGACCCCGCGAGGCCCCACTCGCCTCCACTCCTACGTGTGCCCCATCCCTGGTTCACCCCAGGAGGGCACCAGAGGTTCAGAGGGGTGAACTCACAGGGCCACACCCTAAGCCTGTGCTCCTCACCACCGTGCACATGGCCTCAGCCGCACTCCGACCACGTGCTCGCCATGGGGCCCCTGGACACTTCTGGTACCCCCTCCCTCACCCCAAGTGACAGCAGGCTCGGGGTGCTCTCATGGCATGGCTGAGTCTTGTTCGTCTTTGTACCCGAAGACACTAAATCCCCAACTCTAAATTCACTGTCAGCTCTAATGACTGGTTCATCCTGAGATGTCAAAGCAAAGGAAAAGTTTTCTGAGCATTACCTTGCTTGGGAAGAAGGAAGGTTCTGTAAGGCCTACTGGAGAGCCCAGCACAGCCGGCAGCCACCTCTCCCTCCTCCTCGGAGGACCGGGAGCCCTGCCAACAGGCTCCGAGCGGCCGAGGCGGGGGAGGGCCTCACTGAGGGCTGGCACGTCACAGACCAGGACAAAAACACGGGGGAGGACAGCGGGGGAGGACGGGCTCTCGGTTCTCAGGAAGCAGCAGGGGAGCAAGCTGGGCCGGGGCGCGCGCTCACCTGATGTGGAAGTTCTGCACGTTGACATTCTTGTACGGCGCCGTCTTTCTCTGGCACCAGAGGAGGAGCCCTTCCTTGGCAGAGGTCTCTGTCAAACACACAAGGGCAGTGAGGGCCGGCTCAAAACGAAACCTTCAGAACTCGGCCCAAGCGGGGTCGTAACTTCAGGCTCAGGGGGAGAGAACATCATATGGAACAATGGCGGCAGCAGTGACAGTAGTGACAGCAGCTGCTACCATGCTGGAGATGGACAGACCTCTGCTGATGCTAACCGCCAATGGGCACAGCCAGACGGATGGATGCTCACGGCCCAAGGCGGTTTGGGATTTCCAGGCGGTCACCTGCCCAGGGTCATCGCCCCAGGGGGTGGCACCTGTGCCGTGTTCCTGGTGACAAAGCCCCTGCCTCTCACCACCAGAACACACTGCCAAACAAGCTCCTGGTGCTGGTCTCTGCCTCTCTGGACAGGGTGACGACTAAGCACGGGCATGAGTACTGGGGCCCTGCCTCTCCGCAGGCTGGGCTGGGTACTTCTCCTCATCCTGTGGTGCATGTCAGAGCTTGGAAGGGAGTAAAGCAGCTCATTCCTGGGTGCCCTGATCTGACAGCAGGTGCGTGAAGGCAACAGTTCGAGAGTGGGGTGTCTGGTGGCGGGATGAAGGTGCAGACGCTCAGAAGCACCAGGCCCAGGCCCAGCTCTGCCGCCAGTCTGCTGAGCGACTCGGAGCAGGTGACTGTGCCTCCTCTGACTCAGGTTCCTCGACCGTGAAATGGGGCCAACCCTGCCTGCCCGCTTCACAAGGGGCGTGAGGGCCCACTGAGGTGGAGGCTGGGAGCACGGACATGCTTTGGATCGGCCACCGGAGCCAGGAGGCTAGAAAGGCTGTGGTAGAGGTGGCAGGTGGCTGGGAGGGGGGACCTCCCTCACCTGCAGCCATGGAACAGGGACGATCACACGAAGACAAAACTCCAGAAATCCTAATCTGACTCACCCCTAGTTGGGAGAGCTGGAGGAAAGGCGGTTTCATACCAGTGGTAGGTGCTCAGCTCTTACCTTCCACAGAGATGTCCTGGATGGCGAACCTGAGGATGATGGTCCAGATCATTCCCAGGGTCATCTTTGCATTGCCGTCCACGATCTCTGCACACAGGGAAGGGGTGGGGGACGGTGAGAAGGTTCCACCCAGAGGGAGACTCCTCTGATCTCAATGGCAGCCTCTGGCCCCATCCAGACACCAGCCCCGACTGTCCGTCCCCTGCCCCCGTCACGGACGCGGCCCCGTCAGCACTCTGGGCAGCACTGTTCCAAAGCAGCCTGCTGTTCCGCGCCTTCAGGCAGGGGCAAGTGGGTTTCCTCTGCCACGCAGGCCTTTTTCCCCCTGGCCAGCTCACTTTTCAGGATCCAACCCAGAAGTCTGCTCCACCGTGAGGTTTGGTCCCAGGCGTCCGGCCTGCATTCCCGGCCCTCTGTTCACACCCCCACCGCAGCACCCACCACGCTCACCAGTCGGTGAGTGAGTGCTGCGGTACTGTTCCTTGCGACTCTGCCCACTTCCTTCCAACCCAACTGCCACTGTCGCCAAGCGACCACCACCACCCCCGGAGCTCGATGCAGCTTCTGCCGAACCCCTACAATCCACTCTCACATAGCAGCCCGGGGGATCTTTAAAGGGCACAGAACGGTGTCACTCCCCAGCTGGAAGCTCCACGCTGCCCAAAATGAAGCCGTATCCTCAGCCTGGTCTACGAGGCCTGCCCTCAGGGACCCAGCCGTCTGCTCCCCAGCTTCTCTAACCGGCTCCGATCAGCTTCCCAAACAAGCCAGGCTCTTTCCTGCTCTCAGGCCTTCCCCCTTCTGTCCACACAGAAAGCTCTCGCCCCCTCCTCTAGGGCTGGGTCCTTCTCATCCTGCGAGCCTCTGCCTCTGCGTCACTCTCAGAAATGGCCCTAACCACCCTGCCCCGTCCCCTCCCCCACACACCTCCACCATTTGTAATCCTCTAATTGTTGCCTGGGCCATGGTGGCGCAGTGCTTAAGAGCTTGGCTGCTAACCAAAAGGTCAGCAGTTCGAATCCACCAGCCGCTCCTTGGAAACCCTGTGGGGCAGTTTTACCCTGTTCTGTAGGGTCGCTGTGAGTCAGAAACAACTCCACGGCAATTGGTTATTTGTTGCTTAGGAGCCCTGGTGGTGCAGTGGTTAAAGAGCTCGGCTGCTAAGCCAAAGGTCAGCAGTTCAAATCCACCAGCCGCTCCTTGGAAACCCTATGGGGTGGTTCTACTCTGCCCTATAGGGTCGCTGTGAGTCGGAATCGACTTGGTGGTTTTGGCTTTGTTGCTTCGTTACTTGTTTACTGTCTGCCTTCCCTGAGGGCAGGGGCTGTGCTGCTCACCGCTGAATCCCCAGCAGCCAGAACAGACCTCTGAGAGGCATGCTGTTCCAGAGGGAAGGTGCAGGCAGAGACACGGCCAAGCTGATGGGCTGCAGACTTCCCTAACCTCACAACAAGCCTTCTCCCAAACTTCTGTGGGTGAGCAAGAAGGGTCTGGGCAATACAGTCTTCAGCTTCAGCTGCTGAGAGGAAAACCACCTTTGAGCGCTCGGGTAGCCGCGTGTCTGACGCCGGCAGAGAAGACACGCGACGTCTGTCAGGCAGACCTCTGGCAGTGCCCTGAAAGCCTCGGCCCTACACAGCTCAGGACGGCGGATGCAGGGGCCCGGCAGGATAGCTTCCTAAGAAGGGCGGGAGCAGGGCGGGTCCAGCAACTGCACTGCTGTGGCCCCTGGGAGGCACTGGAGAGCACAGGGCAAGTTCCAGAGGGAAGCGCGGAGCTAGAGAAGGCAGTGAGGGATCTTCACACGATCTTGTTCGCACTCTTGAGAATGAAAACTCCAGGGTGGGCTTGAGCTGGAAAGGAGGTCACGCATAGGAGGGGCCTACCGTCCCCAGGGACCCACCTGAGAGGACAGGAGGGGGGCTCTGTCAGCCACAATGGAGATGCTCTCTACGGCTAAGCCAAGGCCGAGCGCTGAGGGCAGTTTTGACTTTAAAGAGTTTCAGGAGGAGGAAATATGTCCAGTCTCCTGCCCAGAGGCAGAGGGAGGGACAGTCGGACGCAGCCCTTTCTCAGGGTGAAGACCCACATGCCCAGAAAGCAGGCAGAGCCCCCGCCCCTCCATACCGTGGGGCGAAGGCAGCCCCTCAGTCGGGAACTCTGTGCTGCATGCCTCCTGAGTCCAGCAGGCTGCAGGGGCAAGCTGGTCACGGAGGGTTTAACGAGTCCCGGAGAGGGCAGGAGGGCAGTGTCTACTGGGACACACCCCCCAGCTGCCCCCGCCCACTCTCACAGCCCCACGGGAGGGGTGAGGGTGGAATCCCCAGGTATCTTCTAACCCACAGCCTACCGGGGAACATCCAGCTCTGCACCGAGAGCCCAGGCCACTGTGAGGACGTGAACCAACGTGAGCGCAAGCACAGAGTCATTTTAGCCCGAGTTTTCCTCAGGATGAAAACGGTGACCGCCGTGGGTCTCTCCTCTAACCCTCTCTATTTACAGACCGGTGTCTGAGCAAAGCAAATGGAGCTGTGAGGAGCAAAGCAGGGACACCCAACCAGGCGGAGAGATACACCAAGGACAGAAAACCTCAGGGCCTGGTCAGATTCGGGTTTTTTTTTTTTCTTTTCTCTCTTTTTAAACAAACACCAAAAACACCATCCACCTCGACTGTGCGAGGCCTGGCAGCCTCCTGGGAGAGGTCCGGCTGGGGCAGAACCCTGGAAACCGGGACACGCACTCTGGCCTGGAGACTGGGACGGGATCTCAGAGCCCCGTCATTAGTGGCAATTAGTTTTGTTTTTCTAAAAGCTGGGGCAACCGGGATGTCGGGGCCTGTGAAAGCCCACTCTGACTGATGGGCAGAACTGTGAGCAGCTTCTGGGCTCCATCAGGCCTCACCTCATCTCCCAAAATGCCTGTAAGCTCAACCCGGGGACCCTGTCAAGAGCCGCTGCGGGAGGGACAGCATGCTAACTGCGCGAGTAGAAAGGCCTGGGGAAGGTACAGAAGGGTCCCGGTGGCCAGAGGCCAAACCTGGCCCAGCCCGTGTGCCCAGAGCAGAGTCTGGGCATGGACCTGTGGACATGGGCTCCCTGCCTGACATCCTGACACGGGGCCCCATTCCCCTTCTTTCCTGCACCTTCTCTCCCGCCAGCAGACACTGGGCAGGGCATGACGACGACGCCACCCCCAGCAGAGAGAGGCCGTGTCATGCGTCTGCTGGTGTCTCATGGGGCCCAGCACAAGGCAGGCAGGTGAGAGCACTCAGGGTCCAGCTCACAGCCATTCTCCCCCCAGAAGCCTGCCCGCACAGCCGGGGCACGCCAGCTCCCCAGATCTAGACAGCACCTGACAATTCTGCGGGGTGGGGAAGCCTCCCTGCTGAATACTCACTGGGGCGGAAAGCGCCCCCCCGTGCACTGCCACCAGCAACACTTCTGATCAGAACGTAGTGTCACGTCTCCAGGCGTGAAGGCCGGGAACTGAGTGAGACCCTGGCTGCCCCACCCCGAGCTCACCTTCCGCCCCGATGGAGACCAGCTTGACACCTTTGCTGGCGATGAAGTCCAGCGCTTTGTTCACATTGTTGATTTTGTGCACTCTCATCTTCCCCCGCTCCGGCTTAGGCAGCCGCTCCCCTGGGAGACACGCACGGAGAAAAGGGGTGAGAGGGAGAAGCGTCAGAGCCTCCCGGGGCTCTCCAGGACCCGGCACCCGGCTGTCCCACCGCAAGCCACACCGCTCCTGCTGGAAGAAGGGCAGCGGGGTGGGCAGGGTCTCCGGGGTCCTCACCTGAAATGACCTCCAGGAGGAGCATGAGCTTGAGCCCGTCGCGGAAGTCCTCATCGATGTTCTCGATCTGCGTGCCCGCCTTCCGCAGGTGGGAGTTGCACCAGGCCGTGAAGGTCTGGGGAGGCAGGAAGAGAGAAGCATGGAGGGTCAGCTTGGCAGCCAGGGCTCCCCCGCCACCTCCCCAAGGACACTGGCCACCCCGGACCCTCGCTCGCAGCCAGGCCCGAGACGCCGCACTTGGGATCCATTACTCCTGATCTTCACAGCAACCCAGGTGGGTGGATATGAGAAATCTGAGGCTCGGGTGGTTAAAGAACCTACCGCCTGATCTCCAGGTACTAAGTGGCAGGGCTTGAATCTAAATCCGAGTCTGCCAGCCTTAACAGTACATGCTCTTTCCCGGCACCAAGCTGCCTCACGTGAGCCCATTACAAGCACAAGACAAAGATGCCACAGTCATCTGTCCACTCATTCATTCACACTGGACTGAGGAGACAGTGGGGGAAACTAGGCAGGGTCCTTGCTCTCTGCCAAGGACACACCTCGGGTGGACACATCCAATCCATCACCAAGCCTGCAGACTGCAGAGCCCACTGACACCCGTTCCCTGCACCTGCTCCCCCACCGTGGGTAGGGGGCTCGGCAGGCATTTTCAAAATCACTGGCAGAGGTGGCCCAGGACAGGACAGCAGGTAGGAAATAAAAGCCTCCTGAAGACTCGAGGTGGGCCAGTCTCCTTTGGCCTCCCCTCGAACTCTGGTGGGCCCGACAGCAAGCTCCTCCTCAGAAAGCCCAGGAACACGGGAACCCCTGAGCCTGTGCACGCCCCACATGGTATATTTCCTGCGGGCCTGGCCTCTGATCCCTGGAGAACACACCATACCCCACCCTTCCGTAGAGGCTCGAGAGGGTTCCTTTTGCTGTATCTTAGTGGGAGGCCACTGGGAGGCAGGCACCCCCACCAGCGTTAGATCTGAGGAGGACGTTTCTGAGGGCCGCTGGGCATGTGGATGTTGGATGGCAAAAGGGCACTTCCTGGCAGGAGGTGTCGTGAGCAAGAAGCCTCAGCCCCAAACCCAGAAGCACGATAAGGGCAGAACACACATATGTAGGGCACTCGGCCTCATGGGGGTAACCGGGCGCTCAGCCCCACCAGCTGGGGCACATCATCAGACACCAGTGCCATGAAGCATTTCGGATCAGTTACGCAGGCATGCGCAGACGCCTTCTGGGAAAGCCAGCCGGCAGCAGGGCCTGGGAAAAACCCCAAGCCTCTGCTCTCCTAGGATCCCTGGGCCCCGCACCCCGCCCTTCGCCCTACAATCTGCAGGGCCCAGCGTAGAGCTGGGCCGGGAGCCAGGTGCCCATAGGTGCACACTCCGTGCCCAGGGCACAGGCGTAGGAGGAAGAGGGGCTTCCAAGGAGCCTCTGGCCAAACACCATTGTTTTGACAACTGTTGGCAGTCCTGCTCATTCAGAGAGAGATTCAGCCCAAGGCACCTCCTCCCAGACAAAGAAGCCGCCTCATTAACACCAGGCACGAGTGTGGGCACGGCTGAGGCCTCCTGCCAAACACGGATGGCGGCAACTGTAAACAGGAGAGACCCCCCACCCCTACCCAACACGAGGAGTCCCTCTGCCGAGGAAACAGAGACCCCCGCCCCTTGCGTGATGCTGTCACACCTCTGCCTCTCCGCTCAGCTAGCACCCACCCACCCCTCCAAAGCCAGACCTGAGTGCCCCTCCTCCAAGAGGCCTGCACGGACTCGGGCGTCCCCTCCTCACGGCCCCTTCCTCACTGCTCTCTAACAGCTGTCCTCTAGGAGCTCCTTGAGGGGAGGGGTTATCACACTCAACTTCCCAACTCCGACCACACAGCAGGTTCTCGTTAACGAATGGTTAATTAACCTTTCCCATCCTCATTTCCCATGCCTCCCCCACACAACTCTGAATTCAGACCAACCAGGGTGAGAATGCTGCTCACACCACCCACGCGGGCAAGTTACCCGACCTCCCTAACACCCATCTCCTCATCTGTGACAGGGTGATGATGACATCACTGAGCGCACGGGGTCAATGTGAGGATCGGGGAGACTGCCTGCAGAGCACGCAACAGGTGCTCAGTAAATGCCAGTTCTCTGGATGTACCCTGTGCCTCCCAGCATCTGCCCACCTCCCCACGGAGGGCTGCCTCAGTCCCCTGCCTGTCCGCTCCACCACACACACAGTCCCCGGCATCTCTGCCAGCATTCTCCGGTCATTTTTTGTCTTACTGGACATGGCACACACATGTGCTCTCTCTCTCCTCCTCACCATACGCAAGTTCCTAAACCCAAACCCACTGCCGGTGAGTTGATTCCAATTCACAGTGACCCTACAGGATGGAGGAGAACTGCCTGATGGCGTTCCCAAAGCTGTAAATCTTTAAGGAAGCAGACTGCTGCATCTTTCTCCCACAGAGCAGCTGGTGGGTTTGAACAGCTGAACTTTTTCAGTTAGCAGCCAAGTGCTTTAACCGCTGTGCCACCAAGGCCCCTTCCAAAAGCTCCCAGGGGTAGGAAGTATGTCTCATATGGCTCTGCATGCCCAAGGCACAGCCTGCTCGGTGGTGAGCACAGAGGGAGGGTGCCACTCAGCTGCCCCATAAAGCAGAGGGCAGCAGCAGGGCTGGGCTGGGGCAGGAAGTGCCTGGTGATTCTAGGCCTCTGCTCCTGCATGCACCTCAAAGGGGCCACTGGGCAGGAAAGTGGGCAAATCACATCCCTCGGCTTGAGGATGCAAGGAGGCACTTCCTGGAGGGCAAGTCCTGTGGTGCTCTGGTGCCACTGGGGGCTAAGATCTAGGTGCCTGGTCTGCAGGGGGGTGGGTGGGTGTCTAAACGGCAACCCTTACCACTTGGCCTACTGGGGTCACACCTGCACGCTCAGTGGTGCACAGGCCTGGTCTGAATCCCAGCTCCTCGGCCTCCTTGTTCTATGTTCCTGACCAAATGACTCTGCCTATCTGAGCCTCAATGGAAATTGCAGAACACTTCACTGTGCTCATGTGGCACCTGTACACAGATCAAAAGGCAGTCATTCCAAAAGAACAAGGGGATACTGCGTAGTTTAAAATCAGCAAAGGTGTGTGTCAAGGTTGAGAAAGGTTATCCTTTAACCATACCTATTCAGTCTGTATGCTGAGTAAATAATCAGTGAAGCTGGACTATATGAAGCAGCAGCAGCACCTCGCTCTGTGCCCGGCATAATCATGTATATATGAGCACAGATCCACACACATGCTAGTGGCTACCCAATCCCCAGGAAGGGTGAGATCTGGTCTCTCAGCTGCAAAGACCCCAAACCCACCCCCATGGTTTGGAGCAGCAGTGGGATTGCAGGAGACCCTCTTGGGACAGTTCCCGCTCAAACCTGGGAAGGTGCTGAGCTAACCTGACCTCTGCAGGTTCAGGCTGCCTGTCCTCACAGGGGTTTACTGAACTTCCCAGCCCTCCAAACAGGCTTCCTGTCTCTGCCCCTTTGCTCATTGCCTCTGGGAAGTAAACAAGAGCTCTGGCTTGGAGGGGTCACACTGGCCTGGGTTCACATCTTGGCTCTGCCTCCGGCTAGCTGGATGACCGTGGGCAAGCAATGCCGCATTTCTGAGCCTTGGTTTCGTTGTTAATCCTTTTCTTCCAAGTTCAGATGAGGATTAAAAAAAAACAATGCAAGTAAACCACTTAGCACTGTGCCTGGCACAGATTCAGCCGTGTTATACACGTGCCAAAGAAAGGTCTATTTTTAAATAAACGGTAACTCGGCCGGGTACATCTGCCTCCCTGATGGGAAGCAGGCAGAGTCCCAGGCAGAGTGCTGGGCAGGTGCTCGGGGGACACCCACACTCGTCAACCTGGCCTGTGCCAGACGGCAGATGGGACAGAAGCCCAGCGCCACTCCACATCTCCTCACCCCCTTTTCTCCTCCTGGAAGACGAGGTGCCTACTGACACCAGAGGCCCCAGGGACACTGAGCTCCAGGGAAGGGGGGGGCGTGAGCTCGCGAGGCCGACTTTAGGGAAAAGTCAACCAGAAACGACATGGCAGCACTGGCAAGCAGGAGCCTGAGTTCCAATGGGACGTTCGAGTATTTTCTCCTTAGTTACAAAAATACCATTCTGTTCATCACATCCTCTCCCTAGCTGGCTTAGGCTCTATCTCTGGGGTGCACGGTATGGAGGGGTGGTTTCCACAGACAGAGGCCTCGTGTGCCCACTGCACCCCTCACCATTCAAAATTTTCAGCGTGAGCTACGGCCACGGACGGCCAATGGGTCCCCCCATCCCCAACACCACAGGCCACCGTGGCATCAGCACACCTTCGCTTCCTCTACAACCATTTGCTGAGTGTCGAGCTGGTGCCGGGCTCTGGCTGAGCGTACGATAGCGAACAAAGGCAGCTCCCAGTCGGCCGGAGGAGGCCTTCCTAATCAAGCAATTACCCAGCGACAGTAACACCCTAACCCTTAGGAAGGTGGCACTAATTGGTAATAATAACAGCCACGGCAGACACTTCCAGAGAGCTAACCGTGTGCCAGGCGTTCTGTCACGCAGGCACTTCTCTCATCCTCACAACGACCTGGTGATGTAGGTGCTATTATTGTACCCATTTTACAGACGAAGAAACTGAGGACCTGAGAGGTGAAGTGACTCGCCAATGGTCACACACCTAGGAAGTTACAGAGCTAGATTTCAAACCGGATGCCTTGGGTCCCAGGCCATGCTTTTAGGAATTATGCTGCGCTTGCCCCCCCAAAAAAGGGAGCTAGAGAGTATGGCACGGTGGGGGACAGCACCTCATCTCAAGGCACAGGGCATATACGAAAGCTTCCCTGAATGAAGAGGAGTTAACAAGACAAAAATAAGGGGGACTATGCCGGGGAAACCGGCGACTGGCTGACGCAAACAGTTAAGCGCTCGACCACTGGCCGAAAGCTTGGCGGTTAGAACCCACTCAGAGGTGCCTCGGTAGACAGGCCTGGCGATCTGCTTCCAAAATGTCACAGCCTTGAAAACCCTATGGAGCAGTTCTACTCTGCACACCCGGGGGGGGTGGGCCGTGAGTTAGAATTGACTCGATGG